AAACATTATATTAGGACTTCCCTGGTGGCGCAGTGGTTAAGAATCTGCCTGCCAGGGCAGGGGGTACTGGTTCGAGCCCTGGTCCAGGAAGATCCCACATGCCACGGAGCAACTAAGCCCATGCGCCACAACTACTGAGCCCACACACCACAACTACTGAGCCTGCGTGCTACAACTGCTGAAGCCCGCGCGCCTAGAGCATGTGCTCCACAACAAGAGAAGCCACTGCAGTGAGAAGTCCATGCACTGCAATGAAGAGAAGCCCCCCGCTCAATGCAACTAGAGAAAGCCCACGCACAGCAATGAAGATCCAACGCAGCCAAAAATAAATAAATTAAAAAAAAATTTATTTAAAAAATATATATTAAATGAAAGAAGCCAGTCACAAAAGACCACATATTATAGGATTCCATTAGTATGAAATGTCCAGAACAGGCAAATCTATAGAGACAGAAAGTAGGTTAGTTGCCTGGGGCTGGTGGTCGGAGTGGGATCTGGGGGAAATGGGGAGTCACTGCTAATGGGCACGGAGCTGCTTTTCTGGGGTGATGAAAATGTTCTAAAATTGTGCCAATGGATACACAGTTCTGTGAATATACCAAAAACCATTGAATTGTATGGCATGTATCTCAATAAAGCTGCTTTTTTTTTTTTGAGGGGGTGGTGATTGAATCCTTGGAGAATAATGAATTTAAAGGCTGAATCGGACTTCCATGGTGGTGCAGTGGTTAAGAATCCGCCTGCCAATGCAGGGGACACGGGTTCAAGTTCTGATCTTGGAAGATCCCACATGCCGCGGAGCAACTAAGCCTGTGCACCACAACTACTGAGACTGCGCTCTAGAGCCCGCGAGCCACAATGACTGAGCCCTCGCACCACAACTACTGAAGCCCACAAGCCTAGAGCCCACACTCTGCAACAAGAGAAGCCACCGCAACGAGAAGCCTGTGCACCGCAAGGAAGAGAAGCCCCCACTCTCCGCAGCTAGAGAAAGCCCGCGCGCAGCAACGAAGACCCAATGCAGCCAAATATAAATAAATTTATTATTATTATTTTTTTAAAAAAGACTGAATCAGGGAGCAGAACCATGAAGATGAAGTGTTCCCTTTCTCCAGTCAGCCCCTGGAAGATAGTAGGTACCCCATAAATTAAATCCAATGGATCATTTCTAGAAAGAGGAACCCATTGCAGTTGCTGTTTTTGGAGAACCGACTAAGTGCCAGACATTGTGGTAGACACATATCAAGTCACCTAATCCTTCAACTACCCATTTTAAAGATGGTATAATTGAGATTCAGGGAATTAAGGACTTTGCTCTTGGTCACATAGGAAGTGGCAGAGGTCAGAATGGGACCCAGGTCTGTCTGACTTCAAAGCTAAGGTCTAAAAATTGACCCTAAAAATTATTAATTTTATATAGAAGTTTTCAGGCTTACCCCAAAGTATTAATATAAAGAATAATACAGTGCACACCTGTGTACTCTCACTCAGCCTAAGAAACTGAACTATCTCTTAATGCCATTGAAGTCCCCTCTGTCTCCTCCCCGATTCCATCCCTCTTCTGCCAGACAGCCACACTGCTGAATTTGGTATTTATTGTTCCTGTACTTTTACTTTGTACGTATCTCCAAGCAATAATATAAAGTACGGTTCTGCATGTTTCTAAACTTTACATAAACACTATTATACTGAATGTAGTCTTCTGAGGCTGCCTTTTTTTCACTGTATTGTTTGTGAGATTTAGCCAAGTTGACACGTGTAGCTGTAATTTGCCCATTTCTGTTGCTGTGTAGAATGAAGTGTTCCACTGTATTGGACATTTGGGTTGTTTCCAGTTTTTCGTCATGACAAGTAGAGACACTGCAAACATTCCCGTTCTTGTCTCCTAGTCCAAGACAGTGAAAATTCCTAGGAGTTTGTGTTAGTTTCCTATCGCTGCTGTAACAAATTACCAAATTAGTGCCTTAAAACAACACAGGTTTATTATCTTACATTTCTGGATGTCAGGAGTCTGAAATGGGTTTCACTGGGCTGAAATTAAGGTATTGGCAGGGGCGCACTCTCTCTGGAGGCTCCAAAGGAGAATCAATTTCCTTGCCTTTTCTGGTTTCTAGAGGCTGCCTGCTCGTGGCTTCTTCCTCCAGCTTCAAAGCCAGCAACGTAGTGTCTTCAAATTTCTCTGTCACTCTGACCCTCCGATTTTACTGTCAAACCTCCTTCTCTGATTCTGACCCTCCTGCCTCCCCCTTATAAGGCCTCTTGTGGTTACACTGGCCCCACCTGGATGATCCAGGATAATCTCTCCATCTCGAGATCCGTGATTTAACCACATCTGCAAAGTTCCTTTCACCACGGAAGGTAACAAGTTCACAGGTTCCAGGGATTAGGATGTGGACACCTTTGGGGTCTATTATTCTGTCCACTGCAGAGGGGAACAGCTGGGTAGTGTGATATGAACACCTTTGAATTACGAGTTTGTCAAACTGCCCTCCAAAGTGAATTGATTCTCTCTCCCACTAGCAGTACAAAAGCATTCCTGTCACTTCCCATCCTCACCAACACTTGATATTATCTGACTTTTTAATTTTTGCCAACTTGACACCTGTGAAATGTCTGGACTCTGACTGCTATGCAGTCAAGAAAGAGATGATGGTCAATGGCGCTGAATGTGACAAAGAAGGGCCCTGGCAGTAAGAAGCAGTCCATGACCTTGGCTAGTGCAGTGCCCTTGGAGTTGTGGTGGTGGGGGGCGGTGAAGTCAGACTGAGTCAAGGAATAAGGGGGGGGGCGGGTATGAGGAAATGGATGCAGGGAGTACAGAGTCTAGATGGTATGTTAGTAGGCTTGGACTGCCATAACAAAATACCACACACTGGGTGGCTGAAACAAAAGATACCTATTTCTCATAATTCTGGAGGCTGGAAAGCCCAAGATCAAGGTGCCAGCAGATTTGGCTTCTCGTGAGAGAGGCCAAATTTGGCTTCTCTTCCTGGTTTGCAGACAGTGGCCTTCTAGCTGTGACCTCACACTGGTGGAGAGAAAAAGAACTTTGGTCTCTTTTCCTCTTCTTATGAGGGCACTAATCCCATCATCAGGCCCCATCCTCATGACCTCATCGAAACCTAATTACCTCCCAAAGGCCCCACGTCCAAATATCATTACATTGGGGTTAGGGCTTCGACATACCAGTTTTGGGGGGAAGTACTCAATTCATAACAGGGTACTTTCAAAATATTGGGTGGGGGTGGTGAAAGGGAGGTATCAGTCTAAAGGCAGAAATTAAAGGTGAAAGAGACAGACAAAGAAAGAGACATAACTACCACAGTGGGGGAGGCATCCTGGAGGGGCAGGTGAAGGTGAGACCCATAGCAAGGGTACCTGGGCTGGCTTTGGAATGAGGGGAGGTTCCTCCTCCTGGAGGAAGGAGAGAAGAAAGGGCACTGGGGCAGGTGCAGAGAAGATCCAAAGAGGTGGAGCAGGAAGTGGCAGAAGCTCTCCCATGTGATGGGCAGTGGAGTCACCTACTGAGGGGGCAGGAGTGGGTGTAGGAGGTCTGAGGAGTGTGGGGAAGTTTCACAGGGGCCGTTGTTGTGGGATTCCACAGGGGGCCCACTGGGCTGAACAAAGGGGGATTGGTGATGAAGAGGGGACAAGCCAAGGCAGGAGCTCCCATCAGATCTCACCAGGGCCTCTTAGAGTGAAGACTGCCTCTTGCCCGGCCAAAGGAGGGCCGGACAGGGGGAGTGTCTAGGAGACCCCTGGAAGCTTAGTGGAAACAGTGGGTCTGGAGGACGCAGACCAGAACCAGGGAGATCATAGCCAGGAAATTGTGAAGTGTGGAAGAGCTCTTGATAATACCCAGGACCGTGGTGGAGGGACATCAGGGACTGTGGGGCACACAATGCTGCCTGGGGAGGTAGAGAGGGCTTCCTGGAGGTGGTGATGTTCCAGCTGAATCTTGAAAAGGAAAACCAAATTTCACTTGCCATAAAAATGTGGAAGAAATGTTGCCTTCACAGTCTATCAGCAAGTCTGTCCTGCCCCACTCCATCAGTTTTGTCTCTTTCTCAGACATCTCCACCACGCCCCCTGTGCTCTGGCTGGATTGGGAGAGTCCTTGTTGGGCACTTTCAGCTTCTATGCCTTGGCTTATGGACTTCTCTTTGGTTTCACTATTTTCGCCTTCAACTTCAGAACTCCTATTCATCCCTCAAAACCCAGCTCAAATGTCACCTCTGCTGGTGAGCCTTTCTGTGCCCTGGTGCCATCTTGGTCCTTTCTTAGTAGTGTGGTGAAGTGGAAAAAGCTCTCTCACTACTGTTTGATTTTAGACAGGTGACAATCTCTGAGTGTCTGTTTCCTGACAATGGCACTGGCCAAGCCTAGTTGTGAAGATAAGGTACATGACATCCTCAGGCATCACATGGGACTCACAAAGGAAGACATCGAGCCATGACACCCACCATTCTGTCTTGTACTAAAGTAAGCTGAGTGAGAATGTGACTCTGCCTTAATCCATGAGCTCTTAGAGGGTAGAGACAATGCCCTGACAGGGCCCAGCCCAGTGCCCAGCATGGAGGTATCGTGTGCTCCGTGGACACTGCACATACAGGAAGAACTGAGATTGTCTGTCATTTACTTGTAATGTGACTTTGGGGAGGTGACATCATCTCTGAGAATCTGTTCCTTCATCTTTAAAATAACAATAACTCGTATTAGGTATTCATCTAACTACAGGTAAGGGACTCAACAATTCACTACCTCTAATCCTCACATTGTGTTATCATCATCCTATTTTATGGAAAGGAAAACTGAGGCTGGGGGAAGTGAATGACTTGTCCAAGTTAGCAGCGGGCAGGAGCTCCTGGCACCCGGCCAAATTGAGAAAATTGTGCGAATTCACGGGGTAAATGTGAAATAGCCTTGCAAACTGTAAAGGCCTGGGGTGGGAGAGTCCGTGCCTGGGGGTGTGGTGAATGATGGCCGGGAGGAGAGGAAAGGAGAGGCGCCTTAGATATCCGGACGCCGTGAGGAGGTTGGGTTGCCAGGCGATCTGCGGATGCGTGAGGCGCGGCAAGGCGCGGCTCGGCCGGGGTGGGAAGAGGAGCGGCCTGCCCCCTCCCCATTCCACCCCCAGCCTCCACGCCGCGGCCCCTTTAAGAGCGGGCGGGGCGCCCTCTGGCGGCGGAGCGGCGCGCGCTGCCGGAGCCAGAGCCCCAGCCGGATCCCGGAGCCGGAGCGGAGCGGAGTCGGGGCGGAGCGGGCCGAGCGGGCCGAGCCAGCAGCCGAACTGGGGGCGCGGGCGGGCGGCATGTACCGGGCCCGGGCGGCGCGGGCGGGGCCGGAGCCCGGCAGCCCGGGGCGCTTTGGGATCCTCAGCACCGGGCAGCTCCGGGACCTGCTTCAGGATGAGCCCAAGCTGGACCGGATCGTGCGGCTCAGCAGGAAGGTAGCGCGGGGGGCGCGGGCGGGGGGCTCGGGGGACGGGCCGCGGCCTGCCGGACCTGCCAACCGACCGAAGGGCCGCACCGGCCGGGCCGAGGGGCCTCCGGAGCCTGGCACGTACGAGTGGGCCCGGTGGAGCCGCCCCCGGGGGAGGGGGCGCCCTGAGCTGGCCTGGGGCGGGTGGGGCGCCGGAGACCCAGGGAGGCGCCCGTGCACCCCCGGGATGGCCGCGAGGCGTGTCCTACAGCGGCTGCTCCAGGGAGGTGTGTTCCGGGGGGCGGGGGGCGGCTGTTTGTGGGGGCCCTGGCTCGCACACCCACGTCTGTAGGGCCAGAAAGGGGAGGCGCCTTCCATGGGGAGAACTAGGGGCCTGTGTGACACCTAGGGGGGCCGTTGGGAGGGCTTCCGTGGTCTGGGAGTGTAAGAGGGGGCTTTGTGTCTTCCGGTGGGGAGGGGTACTGAAAGCTGAGGCGTGTATTCCATAGGCCACCATAAGAGAAAGTTGTATATTTCACAGGCGATAGGCCCGGGCTGGTTGTCTGCGGGGGGGGCAGAAAGGGAAAGTGTACATTGGAGGGAGGCAGGCAGGAGGGGCGTGTGCATCCTATAGGGGACAGATGGAGGGTAGTGCGTTCTCCAGGGGCAGGGAGTGGAGGCTCGGCCCGCCTAGTAACAGAAGGAAATAGCGTTCTCCAGGGCCAGGAAAGAAAGGGGTCTGCTTTCTGCAAGAGAAGGAAAGCTGGGAGCAGGTGCTAGGGGATCAGGGAGGAAAAGGGGGTGTGTATTCCTTGGGGTGTGGGGATTCCACTGGAGGGCAGAGGAGGGGGTGCGAGGGAAGAGAGGGGGGTTTGAGGGGGTGCTGTGCAGGGACAGGGTGAAGACATCACTGGAGAGTAAGAGCAGGGGGTGGGAGTGTTTTCGGCACAAACACCTGAGGAGGAAACAGACAAAGGCCTGGAATGAGAGGGAAGCTGCCCATGCATGGAAAATGGGACAGAGGAGGGAGGAGGACTCCTCGGGGACCTGAGCAGACATATTAATTTAAAATTAAAAATTAACTAACATTTGTAGAGGCCTTCGTAGTTTTCCTCACTTAAGTCTCACAACAACCCTATAAGGTAGATGTTTTTAGCTCACTTTGTGGAAGAGGAAACTGAGGCAAAGTGGGGTCTGGGCTCTTATCGTTCCTCCACCTGTTGGCTCGCCATCCTGAGATTGGGGCAGGAAAGCCAAGCTTTCGGCTTGGCCCGTGGGCACTGTCGCCCACAGTGGCAGTAGGTGGCCATGGGCAGACTCCCTGAATGGGCCTCTGGGCTCTTCCCTGCCGGCAGTTCCAGGGCCTGCAGCTGGAGCGCGAGGCATGCCTGGCCTCCAACTACGCTCTTGCCAAGGAGAACCTGGCACTGCGGCCCCGCCTGGAGATGGGCCGCGCTGCCCTGGCCATCAAGTACCAGGAGCTTCGGGAGGTGGCCGAGAGCTGTGCAGACAAGCTGCAGCGACTGGGTGAGGGACGGCCGGGAGAACTGCCTGGGGTGGGGGGCAGCTGGCCATCTGGCTGGGTGGCCTTGGGAAGTGCCAGGCTCTGAAGGTCGGGACTTGGGCAGACCTATTCCCCAGGCAAGTTTGAGGGGTGCTACTGCTGGAAAATTACCGAGTTGGGAAAGTGAGCAGTCGATGGGTAGAGCTGGGTTCGAGAGGCCAAAATGGGGCCCAAAACCCAAGGGCCTGGGGTGCTTTAGAAGACAAAGCCCCTGCTCCCTCTTTCGCACTAGGACTGGGGGGAGGAGCATAAATGGATCCGGCAGGCGTGTTGTGCAGATGAGGAAACTGAGGCTCCAGAGAGGGGAGGGGAAGCGTAGAATCACACACAGGGTCGGTGAGAGTCAGGTCTGGGCCCTGGGGCTCTGCTCTGTCTGCCCTGAGTGACAGGCCCTGAGGGCAGGGGCTAGTTCACTCTGTCCCTCTGTGGCCCTCAGAGGAGAGCATGCACCGCTGGAGCCCCCACTGCGCGCTGGGCTGGCTGCAGGCTGAGCTGGAGGAAGCTGAGCAGGAGGCTGAGGTGAGAGAAGGGGCAGCTGGGCCTGGGGACCGGGAGGGGGGCCCCATCCTATCATCATCCCCCTCCCCTCAATTCTTACATTGCAGGCTTGAGAGCCCCCCTTCCAGGAAGCCTGCCCTGAGTGCCTGGCTCCCAGGAGTGCCCGCTGCATTGCTGTCCGCACTGGACACAAGGCCCACCGTCCCCACCTGTAACTTTTCCCCCAACTTCCTGTGAACATCTCAGGGCAGCTTAGGCTGGGTCTACAGAGCAGCTGGGACAGATGTCTCAGTGCTGGGTTGGGAGCACAGTGCTCAGTGAGTTGAAGAGGTGGAGGAGGAGGGCCCTGGCCCTGATGAGAGACACCTGTCTACTTCAAGTGTGTCTCCATCTCTGATCCCGCCTCATCCCTGGCCCAGCAGGTCTGGTGATAGTAAGGAAATCAAGGCTTGAGAGTAGAGGACGTTCATCCTCAGCACTGTGGCAGGCCCAGGCTGGAACTCAGGTGCCCCATGCCTGAGCTGTGGGTGGTCGCCATCGGGAAGGGTTCAGGGTGGGAGGAGAGAGGACCAGCCCTCAGTCTTTGGTCATGTTCCTCCCAAACTGTCCTTTCCCTCCTGTCCCAGGAGCACATGGAGCAGCTGCTGCTGGGGGAGCAGAGCCTGGAGGCTTTCCTGCCCGCTTTCCAACGAGGCCGTGCCCTGGCCCACCTGAGGCGGACCCAGGCGGAGAAGCTGCAGGAGCTGCTGCGGCGCCGGGAGCGGTCTGGCCAGCCAGCCCCCACTGCTGCTGCGGATCCCCCCAAATCCTTCCCCGCTGCTGCTGTCCTGCCCACTGGGGCCGCCCGGGGGCCACCAGCAGTGCCCCGGAGCCTGCCCCCCTTGGACTCCCGCCCAGTGCCCCCGCTGAAGGGCTCCCCCGGGTGCCCTCTAGGCCCAGCCCCTCTGCTGAGCCCTCGGCCCTCGCAGCCAGAGCCCCCCCACCGGTAGGATCCAGGGTATGGCTCCCCACTGGGGGGCCCAGACAAACTTGATGCGTGGCTCCTCCTCCTCCCCCACCGCTGGGGTGGGGGGAGGGGCAGGCCCCTCCCCCTGGCCCTAGGCAGGCCCTGGCCCTGGAGGCTGAACTGGGGAGGAGGGTCACCTGGAAGATGCCCAGAGAGAGGGCCGGGAGTGGGGTGGGCAGGGTATTATGCCTCTGCCGCTGAGGAAACTCTGCCTTTTTCTCCCCGGCTGGGGCCTCCCGGGGGATGGGCCAGCCCCAGTGAAAGAACTTTACTCATGGGGGCCTGGGAAGATGCCCACTTCCTTCAAGGGCCCTGCCTAGGGGGCCTATCGCCCCCTGCCACTCCACTAGGCTTGCACAATGCCAAGGCTGACAGGAGTGTTTTCCATCATGTCCTGAGCCTACCTTTCCCCCAGTTCTGGGGTCCACCACCTAGGAGCCAGGTGGTCAGGTCCCGCTCATGCTCCAGACCCTGGGGCAAGGTAGGCCAGGGGCTTCTGACCTGCACCAGGTGAGAGTGGGCCCTCCCCCGGAAAGACCATTCTGTATTTTTCTGTCCCCGTCTCCTTAGAATGGAAACTTTTTGAGGGCAGGTCCTTGTCTTTGTATGTTCTGTCCCCAGCCCCGCCTCCCAGGGGCCGTCAATAAATGTGATGATGAGGATGACGATGCTGCCTGACTTCTCTCTGCTCCCTCATCCAGCCACTCTGCTGTTGCAGCCTCCACATCTCAGCTCCTGTGCTTCCTACTCTTGAGATGCCCTCCTTTCCTCTCTGCCCATCCAAAGCCTGGATGTCCAGGTCCAGCACTGCTTCTGCCTCTTCCATGAAGCCTTTTCTGATTACCAACCCATGGGAGTCTTCCCTAACTCTTTAACTTCCCAGCACTTCTGGCCAGAAGCACACTCTGCTCCATCACAGTTCTCCAACTGCCTCACCTGGATGCACCTTCTTTTCCTGGGTGGCCTGTCAGCCCAGTCAGGATGGTACCTGCTCCTTCTCTGGCCAAATGACCACCCCCACTGAGTGATGGAGAGGGTTCCATAGGGCTGAAGCTACCTGTCTTCAGCTTGGGTAAACATTAGGTGACCAGCTTGGCCGATGACTGTGGACAAGAAGATGAGAGAGTGGGAATACGTCTTGAACCAGCTTAGGTCAAGTCTAATGAGATGAAGTTTGGCAGGAAGTCACAGAAGGTCCTGCAGGTAAGAGGGGACAGTCAGAGTGCTGTAGAAGCTAACGTGATCTTGGTCCATGTTAGTGGGGCTATAACCATCTAGAATGAGGCAAGTGCTGGTTTGGCTTTACTTTTTACTGAAGTTTTAAACTCTAAGGGAACCCCAAAACAGCACCTTTGGAGTATAATGAGAAAGAGGATTGGGGCTAAGTCCCCTGCGGAACAGTTGAGGGATCTGTTTTACACACAAGTATGTGATGGCTAGCCTCTGAGTCTCTAAAGGACTGCTTCACATAGAGCAAGACGTTAGAGTCAAGACCAACGGGTGGAAACCCCTGGGAGCCAGATTTTGGCTCAGTATGAGGCTCTTGATCCACGGGTGCTGCGGCTGGTAGGCTGGTCCCCATCCCTAAAGATGAGTGAGCAGCACCTGAGTGACTGCTTGATGAGCTCTTAAGAAATACAGGCAATAGTTAGAGGGACTGGCCCATCCGAGCTTTTGGAAGCCCAAGTCCAGTCGGATTCACCCCCAGCAGGGGCAAAGCACTGACAGTGCCCACTTGAGAAGCTTCATCCCACAGTGGCCGTGGTTCTCCTGCTCTCACTGCTAGCACTTGACGTGCTGGAGACAAGGGACGCTGGGGAGGACACCAGGTGCCTGCCTAAGATGACAGAAGACTGAACAGCCCCAGAAGACCTCCCACATTCTCCACACAGCCTGGGGCAAGCCGGGCCCCTCTCGGCCTGGCCTCCCACTCTGGTCCATGCTTCTAGGGAGTTTTTCGTTTGTAACCAAAAGGAAGAAGGGCTAATGGTGGTCATGCCTAAGCCTCCCTCCACTATTGTGAATTGGGGAGCAGCCTCTACAAGGCAGAGGCTAATGTCCACAGTCTGGTTCAGCCTCCCCTCCCCAGGGCAGATAAGAAGAAGAGGAAGGAATGACCCAAGCAAGGGAGGGACTGGAAAGGGAGAAAAGTTTTACCATGAGAACCAGATGGGGTCTTTCAGAAGGCCTTCCACACCCCTCACCTTCCTCAAGAGCTCAGACTCAGTTTTAGAGCGCACAGGGAGTGAGGCCCTCTGTATTCAGCTCCAGCATGAAAAACACCAAAGACCTGAGGCAGGTGGGTATAGATACCACCAGAGTGGAATGGGCCTAGTTCTGGGCCATGGGAAAGGCTTAGAGTTGGATGGTTAATAAACTTGATTAACCCCTCTGCTTGAAGGTACATGGAATATTCTGGAAAGTTCCAGGCAGTCTGGGCTCTCCTGCCAGATCACTTCTGGAACTTTCTATTTCCAGGTCTGGGGTCGCAGGGAATGCTCCTGGCTGTAATCCTCTGTGAGAGAGAATAAACTTGAGGTAGACCCTCAAGGGGCCCATGAGAAACATCCTACCTATTGCAGGCCACCAGTGCTTTTACAAACCAAAACCAAAACCAAAAAATTGCCCAAAGGGCTTCTCTCGTGGCTCAGTGGTTAACAATCCACCTGCCAATGCAGGGGACACAGGTTCGAGCCCTGGTCCAGGAAGATCCCACATGTGGTGGAGCAACTAAGCCCGTGCACCACAACTGCTGAGCCTGTGCTCTAGAGCCCGCGAACCACAACTCTGAAGCCCCCGTGCCTAGAACCTGTGTTCTGCAACAAGAGAAGCCACTGCACTGACAAGCCTGCGCACTGCAACGAAGAGTAGCCCCCACTCGCCGCAACTAGAGAAAGCCCACACACAGCAACGAAGACCCAACACAGCCAAAAAAAAAAAAAAAAATTGCTCAAATAACAAAACTCTCACTCCTTTTTGATAAAAACAAGGTGTTCCTCCCCCTCAAGAAAGTCTATGTGTACCTCCTTGTTTGGAAATCACTAGCTTCTGCATATTTTCCTAAGCCTCCCACCTTGTTTTCCAAATTTGAAACATAATAACATTAAATGTACTTTTGTGTGTGCCTGCTAATCAAGGCTTACTGAGCTCAACCTTTACCACTGAATCATGTGGTCACTGCAAAGCCATGGCTAAGAACTTGCCCCTGACCTCCCAGGCTAGAGAGAATCTGATGGTTTCCAAGAGACCAAGTTGGACTAGCTGAGGGTTTATCCCAATTTATACAAGGATTTTACACAAAAGATTGAGTGCAGGAATTGGTGTTATTGTACCAAGGGACCTCTGGCTTTGTTTGGGACCTTGCCACTGCTGTAGAACTCTCAAAAGATTCTTCTTGTCCCACAATGAAAATAAGACTTATACTCTGCCTCCCTGCATAAAGTGTGAGCTCTTTTAATAACATAGGAGGTAACCTAGGGATCTGCAAATTCAAATGCCTGTAGGGGCCAGAAGGTTACAGTGCAAAGCAGCTCTGTTTCCACAAAGTACACCCTTCCCCATTTTCCTGGAAATGCATGATCCCCCCCACCTTTTTTGTTTTTCCTCTTAATAGACATGGGATACAGAGAGAGATTTCTCTAAGAGTAAAATGGTGCAAGTGTGTGCATCACGGCCTCTGACACATCCCCTCTGCTGGTGAGAGTGCAGGGGACCAGGGAGCAAGGTCCCATCTGAAAGGCAGACCTTACAGCTTCTCCCAGGCTGTCACAAAAGTATGGGAGGAAGCTCAATGGTGGCACATTTTCTCACTTTTTTGAGAGGAGTCAGAAATCTAGATTTTTATGCAAAGTCTTCCAAGTTTTGAATACTGCCTAAAGTTGAGACACTGTGCTAGCCGCAGCCAAACGCTGTGTGCAGGTCAGCTGTGGCCTGTGAACCACGGATCTCGGTCAGTTCTTCGTCCTCTGGAAACAGGCCTTCTTTTGTCTAGCAGCAGTCCCCTCCCAGGACCGAGGATGTGAACACTGACAGGGCAGAGGCAGGATGGGAGGGCCAACCCACCTCAAGACTAGCGACGGAGCCCCAGGTTTGTATAGCCTTAAGAGACAGTGGCGAGATGGCTAGATCCATAGTGACGCTATGACCTTACAACAGATGGTGAAGGTGAGCTCTCTGCTTCTGGGGGATGAGAGCACCTAGCAATCCCCAGCATATGCAAGTTCATGAGGTCCAGACTCAGGTCTTGCTACCACCCTAAAACACTAACAGAGGGACCCCAGCTGCTTTGCACAAACCCGATGGCCCCCAGGGCTCCAAGCCTGGCCTGAGAGCCAAGCCGCTGAGGGCAGGCAAGGCGCGCCTTCTACAGTCCTGCTCAGAGGCAGGAGACAGTGTGTGACCTCATCACAGGGCTGAGGAACTGAGAGGGCAAAGGCCAGGAGAGCGCACTGAATTCCAGGGAGTGAAGTAACACCGCTACTTACCAGCTGTCCCTTCTCTCAGCCTCCCTTCATGGGATCTGGTGACATTCCTGGAAGCCCAAAGGCCCGAGACAAGCCCCCTACTCCTCGCCATTCTCCATAAGCAGGTGTGGTGGCCACTCACTTGGGCTCCACCCTTGGTGTCTCAGCTTCAGGCTGTGGCTATAAGGGATGGAGATATATATACATGGTCAGTAATGACCACCGGACAACTCACTGGCCTAAGGTAGGCTATTCTTATTCATCTTGGCTCATGCTGGGACCATTACAGAGGGCAAGGCACACTCAGCGAATGAGATGCCAGAACCGCAGAAGGAAGCAAGAAATCTTTCTCCTTCAGCCCTGGGATGTGTAAAGGATCTTTCCACCCTGCAATAAATAAAGGACAATGGAGGGGAAAACAGTTAGGCTCGGGAGGAATAAAATGAAGTCCTGATCAAGCCCAAAGACACTATCACAATTGCCTAGACATGTACACCCTGACTCCTATGCTCTTGTCCGC